AAACCATTTCAGGTGACTACCTCTTGAAGCTCATGGAGAGAATGCCAAGAGTGTGCAAAGCAGTAATCAGAGCAAAGGGTGGCTATTTTGAAGAAACTAGAATATAAAACATGTTTTCAGTTATTTCACCTTTTTTTGTTAAGTACATAACTCCACATGTGTTCATTCATAGTTTTGATGCCTTCAGTGAGAATCTACAATGTAAATAGTCATGAAAATAAAGAAAACGCATTGAATGAGAAGGCGTGTCCAAACTTTTGTCCTGTACTGTATATATGTAATTATGTACTCAGAGGTGGGTAGAGTAGCCAAATATTGTACTCAAGTAAGAGTATTGTTGCTTTAAAACAATATAACTCAAGTAAAAGTAAAATGTATTTTGCATTAAAACCACTCTGAAAAGTACAATTTATCCAAAAAGTTACTCAAGTAAATGTAACTGAGTAAATGTAACTAGTTACTACCCACCTCTGCAATCAGTATATTGATTCTGATGTTTTTGCTCACCGTAAAGGGCTTGTACCCCACGCCTGTCATCATCTGGCAGCTTGTATCCGTTTGTGTTGACATATTGATAAGTAGGGTACATCAGTGCGCGTCTGTCCCTGGAGTGATCCAGGCCCAGTGCATGGCCAAACTCGTGGGCCGCCACCAGCAGCAGATTCACACCTCAACAAAACAAATTACAGAGAAGCAAGTCAGACATCATTTACCTGATATACAGTGCTGATTCATATTTAATGGTGTGCTTATTTTTAAGGACATATAAATCGAATTGTTGGGAAAATCCTGCTGAACATACAGGTTTTATTTTTTCCCCCACACCAAACAGTTAACTCTTTGGATATACAGAGAACTGCACAGATTACACTTCCTCCCAGGTGGATGTGGCAGCTTCAGTTTTACTAAAATGCAGAGAGCATTTACTTCTCTGGGTAAGAGTCCAGGTTTCATCATCATCAAAGTGTGTGTCCCCTCCCTGCCCCTGTCCAGGAGAGTTAGCATGAGCCAAGACTCCGCCACGCCCATCAAAAGGGTAAAAGTCCCCATGAGCTGCAACAGGACAAAGAAGATAATTAAATATATTTGCATGTTAAGAAAAGATTCTCATAAAGATCAGCTGGCTGTTTAAGACCCTCTTGTTCAATTCAGACTCACATCCGCCCTTAAAGAGGATCATGATGTCCGCGGTACCACTGGAGACCTGTTTAAAGTTCAGAGGGGTGACATCGCTGTAGAGCTGGAAGGCCTGGCCAATGGCTGTATCCACCTGACTCTGGGTCAGATCTGGAGTGTAGTTAGTGATCCTGTTAAAGTCATGTTATACAAGTATTAATTAATACTAAAAAAAATACTAATAATAATCTCCACCTACAGTATGTAACTTCTTGTTACCTGTATGTAATCAGGGTTTTGCGCCATCTGGGTTTCCCATGAAAATGTCCATATCGGCTGATGTCTGACACACCACACCTGGGTGCCTTCATCACCTCCACAGTCTCGTTATTCAACACACCAGTTACCTGATTGTCAGGTGATCATGTGAGGTAGCAAAATCAAAGAGAGTTTTAAAGTGAGGTTTGTCATATATTTTTTATTTAAAAAAAATTAAGACATTTACACTGTAAATCGATGCAGAACTGGCACAAATTGGTGCATCAAAATTCACAAAAATGCTGGAAATGATGTGTTTGAAGCTTATCTTTTTTAATGGACTCAACACTGAAGTTATTAGAAGTCACAGTTGCTTTGGTTGCAATAAGGCAAACCTAAATCAAACCTTTCATTCATTATAATTACCTCCAGGCCAAAGAAAGCCTGCATGGCCTGTAGATCCAGGTTGAAGGAGCTCTTAGCAAGTCTTCGCACTGAAGAGTTTGTCACGCCAACATCTCCATAGAAGTTGGACAGGTATGCCTGATTCCAGGAGAAGGAAGACAGTTTTATTGCAACTGATTCATGTTTTAATTTCACCTGACTATGGCAGCGCTTATTTCCTGTCAACTCCATCTAAATCTGAAGACTGTTTGCAACCTGCCTCACCTCTGACATTTTTAAATGCAAGAAGTTTCCCTGTAATCACCTGGTTAGTCCAGAAAGTTCCTAGTTGCTAATATTCATGCATAATATAAACTGCAGTACCTCCGCCAGGTCTTGCTCCTCTGGTGAAACTGTCGGAGCGATGGTAGGTGCTGCATGACACAGGGCTAAACAGCCCAGCAGCACGATCCAAAAACCAGCAAGAGACATCTTGTGAAAATGTCTTCTTCTCTCCATCCACTGTGCTCTTATAAAGGCAGTCCTGAGACGTGTTTGGTTCTGATATAGGCTGAGTAATCGTGCACAGTCACCCTTTGTGCATTCCAGTTGATATTAAAACAAACCCCTGTATCTGAGGGGGTAGAGAGTAAATAGTGGCCCCTCTGATAACACAGTGGGAGGAGATGATATGATCAGTGTAACTTCACTTATGAAACATCTGTGAAGCAGTTTAAAGGAATACTTCTGCCCCACTCACCCTGTGCTACCTTGAATTCTTGAAGAAACCCTAGGTTTTCTAGCATGCTTCCACGATGAACGAAGGATCCAAAAACGGGGACAATTCTTGATCAATTGAAGTAAAAAACAAACAACAGCAAAATTATATCAAAACATCTGTTTGCAAACTCTCACACAACTCGTGCAGCTAAATCCAAGTCTCATTTATCCAGTCGTATGATCAGTACTTCCCAAACATGCATTTTTGCTAAAACCACCCTATGCACAACTCGTCCACGCCTGAGAGTGTTTGTGGGGAAGTGTTTTAAATAGTACGGTTTTAGCGAAAATGTGTGTGTTTGGAAAGTACTTATATCTGTTATGCTCTGTTGGAACCTTAGTGTTTTCTTTTATTGATATGCTTCATACACCTCTTCAAACGTTTCATCCCACAGTTTTCATTTACCTTCTGATGTGTTATTTGTCACATGTGCAAAGTGCAGTGAACTAGGTAAGAGCATTGAGTAAATATACTGCAGACACATGCGTTTCATCATCCCAAATCAAACACTGCACTACAAATAAAAATCCCAAATGAATAAGACTGATTTGTGTCACTTATCCACTATAAATTTTGGTGTCACTCTAACATTAACAAACACACACTCTGTCAAGAAAAAAAAACATTGCCAACATTTTGTTTTTGTCAGTGTTCTCTTGTACTCTCTGATAACCTCTGATGTACAGTGACCACAGTCCAGTTTGGCGGGTAAACATGTGTGCAGTCAACTTAGGTCACATGACATTTTTTCAAGTCCACTGACTGAGGCTGGAACTACCTCTTACTGCCATCTGGGGACTCCAGTGTTGCTTAAGTTGCCTTCCACAGAAGTCATCAACAGAGGCACTGAGTGTTGTAGCTGACTGAGAGGACAGAGGCTGCTTATTTTTACCTACCTGTCTATTTATTTTTATGTCTAATAAAATAAAAAAAATAGGACTCTGGAGCAGTGGTGGAAGGGGGTTTTATCTAAGTATTGTACTTGCTGTAATACAATTCTGAGGTACTTTATACTTGTACTTCATCTTGACAGAAATATTGTACATTATATTCCACTAGGTCTACATTTATTTGCTGTAGCTACTGTTGTATATCATATCATATCTTGTATATCATCATCTGCATTATGAGTTCTTTAACTTTAATTCTTATAATACATGTTGTTATAATGCACCTTAAAAAATACTGGATCAAGTCACTAACCCAGGTTCAGGGTATTGGCTTTCTGTTGGGTTTTTTTCTGATGCAGAAGGAATAATGAACCAAATATTAGTACTGTATGACATTTTTGACCCCATAGGTGGCTAGTTTGTTTTAGAACCGGGTCAAATAACAAGGGTTTTTGGCATGATTGGTGACCCAGTGGTTTTTGTACTCATGGATACAGGGTAAACTTAACCCAGTACTGGGTCAGTGCCAGATTTACCCAGTACTGCATACCATGGTTGACGCAAATATGGGTTAAAATAGACCCATAGTTTTTCCCTGTGTACCTGTTCATGTACTTTTATGTAAGGTGAATTTTGAATGCAAGACTTTTACTTGTATTTCTGGTTTTACTGAATCTTCCACCACTGCCATGAAGAGCAAACAATGTGGTGCACAATGCATCTGACATTTAGGAACAAAAAATACATTTTATTGAGTTCAGTATAATAAGACACATCCTGTTTTTACATATTCAGATTGTAGTCAAAGCTACGTTAATACCAACATTTTTTTTAGTAGTATTCTGTTTTAAATGCATTTTTTTCAGGACAAACATTCTGAAAAAAGTCCACAATATTTGAAAAAGTGACACTTTGCACTTGATATTCACATTACATGTCCTCAGCGCTGTACATCCTTACACATAAGAAGCATTAATACCACTGTATCAAAAGGGACAACCAAGATCTAAACCGTATAACAATTCAGTCAGATAAATAATGTTACGTACGCATCATCTCAGCTTAACAACTACAACCTATCTAGTTCTTCTCAGCTATATAAAGGATGAATTCTCAGTAACCACTATATCGACTGTATCAACATCCTAGCCAAGAATTTGCTGAAATGATCTTCACCATCCGGTTCTGTCTGAAGTCGTACTGGTAGGATTTTGTCCCACCGAAGAGGAAGATGCTTCCTGTCAACAGAATGTCATACAAAGAGTGTGTTATCTCCTCGTGGTGTTTCAAGACAAATGAGGTGAAATGTAAACGACAAAGTTTGGCTGTAAACACAAGGCTTCTACTTGGGTAACATGTTGTTCTAAAACTGGGGCAAATGGAGTTTTCCGTATAAAAGTGTGCCCAGTGCGGTGAACCCCACCCGTCTACCACCTAAACACGGTAAAAACATGAAATTACAACTTCTATTTCGGTTATGTCCTATTTGTATCCTGCCGTTTACGTCCACGTTATACAAAGTTCATGACCATAAAGTGTGACAGTTTTTCTCGTTTTGTTTACCATCTAACTTAAAGGCAGCATCGACCTTTCTTGGGATTCCGGGCCAGTCTGTTTGGATGAGTCTGGGGAAGCCAGGGTCCATCCTTCTCCTGCGCTCGTCATACCTGAGGTTGGATCATTCAGTAGATTAATTTTTAGTGCCCTTTTCAGTGTGGGAATGTCAGTACGTTCAAGTATAATGTTGTTCACCCTCTTCAATAATATCAATAATTGCATAACTCAGTAAATATTGTGCTTTCTGATTACAATTTCAGCTGTTCAGCTACAGTGTAAACTTCCTTTAGTCAAATGGCTAGTATGTCAGCAGTCATACAAACTGATCTGATGCCTTTGAATGTGCATTTTGGTTCAATGTAGACTCTGATAATGTATTCATCAGCTCATTTTAACGGGTAAGTTTTGACTTTTCAAGAAATATACAATCAAAATGGAAAAAAATGTGAAGCAAATTAACATTTGAAAAAATTACCTGTAATAAAACTCCCCTACGAAGAAGACTGTTTTCCCATATTCACTGACATGCACGGCAGCGTCAACCTGCCTGACGCTGGAGGAGAAGCCGTACTCATGGATGGAGCCAGCATGACTTTTCGTCTTAAGCTGTTGAACCACCCAGTACTTATGACCTGGAAAAACACAGCCGTGTCACTGCATTTTGGGACACTATGAAAAACAGCAACATACCACAAGCACTGCCAAACTCAATGAGCCTCTTGCATGAACTGCAACACTTAAGTTGCACAAGGCTGTAATTTGGGTGCGACTTTGTGTTTCCCCCCACCAACTGGAAATCCAGCCATGTCATGCTGACAAGGCTTAAGTGATGCTTTGCAGACTGCCCATTACTCTACCAGTGAATATGTACGCCACGCCTTTGGCAGGGATGTCATAAGCGGCGTCCACGTGAGAACTGATGCTCGGTAAATATGTGCTGCTGTGGCTCTCTCGTAGGCGATTCCAATAAGTTGTCCATGTTGTTCTCATCCACATGTACCTTATGTTGAAACAAATGAGCAGTCGTAGCTGCAGCTCAAACACACTGAAGCTCTTGTGCAATCATAATATGAAGAATATTTTACATTTACCTGTTTTTAAAGAAAACAATCTCATTTCCAATCAGAACTGCTGCATCGAAAGAGAAGTTGGGGTCACACTTTTTGGGGGCTGCTGTTTCCACTTTTATTGTAGATTTTCCTAAGACACATTATAACAGAATGCATTAAATATGACATTGCTCATTATGATGCACTACCCCCTGATCATTTCCAGTTTCTTAATTTGCTTCTTACCATACAGTGTTTGGATCCCAAGCACATCATCTTTGGACAGGGAGTACTGGGTACTGCTCTGAGACCTGTAATTGGGGTACATGATAGCAGAGGGGTCTCTTGAGTGACTCAGACCCAGCGAGTGGCCGAGCTCATGAGCTGCAACACTGAACAGGCTGTAACCTGAAATACAGCAACAGATAAGCCTTATAAGTCGCACTGAAAACTGTCTGTGGGTTTGAAACTTTCAGGGGTTTTTTTGCAATTCTGGCTACACCCCAATGATGATGTCACAGCAGGACTGGAGTCTGTCGCTGGTGCTTAATGTTTCAACTCAGAGTTATATTATTATATAATTCATTCATTCATCCATTTTCCATAGCTGCTTATCCTGTTGGGGGCCACGGGTGGGCTGGGGCCTATCCCAGCTGACATTGGGTGAGAGGCGGGGTACAGCCTGGACAGGTCACCAGACTATCACAGGGCTGACACATACAGACAGACCATTCACACTCTCATTCTGCAATTTAGAGTCACCAATTAACCTGCATGTCTTTGCACTGTGGTACCCAGAGAAAACCCAGGCTGACACAGGAAGAACATGCAAACTTCGCACAGGAGGGCTCCCCCATCACAGAGTTTCGAATCCCGACCCTGGATTTGAACCTGGAGTTGTCTTGCTGTGAGGCAACAATGCCAACCCCAGTTTTTAGGTATAATCCTAATATATAATGTTACTAAAACTGTAAAATAAATAGTATAAAGTATAATGATTCCCTCTAAAATGTAGTGGAGCAGAGATATAAAGTAGCATAAAGAGGATATTGTCAAATAAACCTCTTAGTACCTTAACATATATTAGCTATTCTCCTACTTTGCAAGAAAATATTGATTTACCTGAACAACAAGCCTAAAGGACAACGATTGCACTCTTGACAATCTGCAAAAGGTTTCCTATTCCAGGATAATCTTTACTGTTTCATTCTGACAAACCTTTCCACCCCGTCGTCCATGTTTCATCCTCATCAAAGTGCACATCTCCTCCCATCCCCTCTCCTGGTTGAAAGGCATGAGCCAGCACACCCCCGGGTCCATCAAAGGGGAAGAAATCTCCATGAGCTGCAACAGAAAAGACAAGCATCTTCACACTCTGAATCAGATGGGACTTCAAAATCTAGTATGCTGTTTTTGTATGTTTCTTTTTCTTTCTAGGCATTCTTGACCATAATTGGGAACTCTGTTTTCAGTTTATCTTGAACAACTCTTCAGAAGTGGTTGGCAGATTTACTTCTGCGGGCAAAGGAGAAGAGTATATCAGCTTTGCCATGGTTGTCTTTGATGAACCTCAGTGGTGCTGCATCACTCCACATCTTCAGGGCTGAACGAAAGGACTTTTCCACATCCTCTCTTTTCATGTCCGGAGTGTATTTGGCAATCCTGCATATCATAGATGGACACACAGACGTCAGAGTGTGGGACCACCAAACTCCACAGCTGCAGCTACAGTAACATGTTCACTAAAATAAAACATTCCATCCAGAAAATTATATTATAAATACAATGTCTTACATGTATGTGATGGTGTGGTTCTTCCATTTAGGCTTTTCAGGGTAAAAACTGAAGCTTTCCACATCTGGAACGCCACACCTGGGCTCCTTCATCACATCCAGGGTGTGACGGTCCAGACGACCTGTTTCTCTCAGACCAAAGAAGTTTTGCATTTCTCTGATCTTCTCCTCCATGGCCGACGTGGACCTGATCCTTCTCTCTGACATTTTGCCTCTGCTTCTGGGGTTCAGGTTGTAAAATCTCCTGAGGTAGCCCTGTTGATGAAAGACATTTGGGTCTGGAGGTTTAGGTATAGGTTATCATGACGAGATGTGTAAAATGTATCTGCAGATGGTGTTCTGTGTTTTTCCCTGGTATGTTACAGTATTCAAATATGATGTAGTCTATAAGGCATAAAGAATCAAAGTCCAGGCACTCAGGTCGGTTTGGAAAAATTAAAAAGCCTTTATTTAATGGGCAAGAGTCATTAAAAACACCAACGCGTGTTGGCTTGCGCCTTCCTCAGGGTGTAGTCTATATTTGATGAAGTTAAAGCTGATTTTTTTTGTCCTTTTACTCTAAATTAAAACAATTTAAGTGTTGCCATTAAAGAATTTTTGTTTGTTTGTTTGTCAGGATTATCTCATATTGATTCTACTTATTAAATGTACGCTGCATCGTTTGCATAGAGCGAGATAAGGAGCGAAGAAGTTGGATCAGGATTTTGAGAGACACTGCAATTTAAAACCAAAGAGATGATTTTTATTTTTATTTCACTATTCTCTGTCCATCACTAATCCATAATTTAAAAGGCACCAAATGTGTTCTGGTTCCATGTGGGTAAAACTACAATGGGCAAACTCATTGACAGTCAGTTACCTCTTTGTGACTTTCAGAAAGTAGCAGTGGACTTGGGTTGGGAACCGGAGGCTCACCAGCTCTGGTCTCTGTCTGGACCAAATATGGAGTGTGGACTGGTGGCTGGAGAAGTGCCAGTTCACTGCTGAGGTGCCCTTGAGTAAGGCACTGAACCCCCAACTGCTAAGGTGCCTGTCCATGGGCAGCCCCCTCAGTCTGATATCTCTGCATTTAACATGTGTATAGTCCTGTTTGTGCATGTGTGTGTATTCGGGCCTGTGTGTATATGACAACAAATCAATTCAGTATATGAAAAAACTGAATTTCCCCTCAGGGATCTATAAAGTATATCTAAGATGGGGGCCAGAATCGCATCTTAATAAACTTTGGTTTCTTATTTTGCATGTGTTGTTTCTAATTATCTGATATGCACAGACTGATAGTAGAACAGTTCATATTTTGAGTCTCACAACAATCCTGTTTTGATTTTAGGTGATTCCTTGTTTTTTAAATAAGCTGATTCTCTTCTTCTTGAAAAGTCATACTACACAAGCTTTAATTTCAAGAAGTGCATTGGTTGTAAGGAACAAAACATTACCTGGGAAAAAAACACACCCAAGTTTTTTTTTTTGTTTTTATTTTTTTTAAAAACACACAGAGACCTCCATTTACTTTTGATTATTGGTAGGGCAGAGATTTTATCAGGGTGGCCATGGCTCTCCAGCGGCCACCCATTAGTGCCGCCACTGCAAAGTAGTTTGGCTTTTCTTTTTTAAAATAACGTCTATATTTTCAAAGTAAGCGCTTGTAAAGTGAAAAACATATTTCTTCATTTGGTTTAGATAAAAGAAATGCATAAATATAGATGGATATTTGTAATAGGGTTTAACTATCTGCATTATGTTGCAGCTATAAAACAAATCAAATAAGTGCAATTTTTTAAATAAATGCAACTAAGTAACAAAGCATTGCCTGGTTACAGTTTGAAATAGTTCTTCCTATCATGTTTCTGTACAGCAAAGGTCACATTCTTATTCATGGAAGTTAATGTGTGCAACGCCACCATTAGGATATCTGTGTCTAATATAACCTTTAAAGATAGCCATCCACCCACAAACCTCAGCCAGCTCCACATCCTCAGGCTTCGGCAACAGATCCTGATCAATGGGTAGAGTCCACAAGACTTCCACTAACATCAGAGAGCCCAAAACTGGTATCCACAGCAACAGCAACTCCATGACTTAAATGCATATTTCCACCAGGCTTTACTTTTTATATGGGAGTGTTGTCAGGGTTGTTGGGCAATCACAGCTGGGTCTACCTGCCCCAGTTTTCTGGAGGTTTTGTGGTTAAAACCTCCCAATGAAATGTCTGTATAACACGTCTGGGCTTTCTGTCTGTAATGGGGAAAGACGTGTGTGCAGTGTGTTTTGTAGTGTAGAAACCAGAAGCTGAAAGTGTTGTTTGTGAATTCTGTATATTGTAGTCAGTCAAGTCAAAACCTGCAGCCATTACACTCATCTGCCCTCATATCTGTGTATCAGTCTTGATCATAAAAGCTGATGCAAGGAGAATTTGACTGTGAGACACACACAAAAACACACACATACATATATTATAAGGTTTAAACAGTCATTCTTTTATTTCGACAAAATGTGACTGATAAATAAATCTCCACTCAAAAGTGAGGAATTACAGTGTTTTTGCTTTTCATCGTTTAATTTAATCAATGTATTCAGGTAATTTCCTTGCTGCGTGTTTATGGATTTACAGTATTTCAACATCCAAGCCAGGAATTTGCTTTCTCAACTTCAACAACTTGTTTTTGGGTGTAGTCGTATTTGTGGACTTGTGGTCCAATGAAGAAGTAGATGAAACCTGAGAAGAAAAATGAAATGTTAAAGGAGCAAACAAAGTGATTCACATATTTAGCCTTTATCGTGCTGTGTTGTCTGGAATGTTTTTGCCGTTTGGTGCTGTTGGTGATGATTATGATGAGCATCTGAACTTGAATATCCACTTTTGCTCACAAATGTACATCTTTAAGTGGTAAAGTGGGTAAATCATACAGTTTAAATCATAGAGGGGAACCATATGCTCAGTAAAAACACCTCTACACTGAGCTGATATGTGCTACTTATAACAGTGCAACTTGCCCCCTCAAGCTACAGACAGAAGTATACCACCTCCAAACTTTACACTGTTGAATGTGTATTATGTATTTTTTTTCTTGTGGAACATTTTTACATTTGAGTAAGATTTAAATGAACGAGCAACATTAACACTGTCTCACCCTCTTTATAAAAAGCTGCATTTATCGTTGTGTTGACTCCAGGAAAGTCCTCACTGATGTACTTTGGGTAACCAAAATCCATAACCCTTCGGTTTTCATTGTAACTGCGAAGAGACACGATATAAACAAATTGAGAAGGCACGACTCATGATCATCAAAGACAAAACATTCGTTCCTGGCTGTTACTGTTACGGTCATGTCATCAAAGTCCAAATTGAGCCCTCTGTTCTCTGTGTGAGGTCTGAATGACAAACAAAATCTGCAGGTCAGATCTGAGTCAACTTTTTTAATGTGCAAGTCCCTACCTACCGGTGCTTTGTGATTTGCCTCGGTTATGCCACCACATTTTCATTTAATATGATGTAATAAAGGCGCTTAGGGTAAAAAAAAGTACTGTGTCATTTAATTTAATTCAGTCTGTAGTACACACATACATGGATTTGTTTTGATGCTTTTGCTAATGCCTGTCTTTATAGAGGAAAAATTACTTTTTACAGTGCCAGACATGAGTATTCTCATTCCTGCAGTGCACGGCTTAAATTGGTTAAAGTCCCCGTCCAGTACTTAAACTAGTACTTTGTTTAACATGGTTTTCCCACATAAAAAGATACTCTGAAAGGGAGCTGGAGCAGATCTACTCTCTCTCCCTCATTCACAAATTCTGGATCTGGCTTACGCCCCACACACCAACACTGCGTGTAGCAACTTCCGGCTTTCCCCAGCTCTGACACAGTGCTACAGGGGCTAAACTGGTGAAAGAGCTTTGAGCATCAAGGTGGCCAGCGTTAGCATTAGAGGAAACATTGGCGTGAATTAGCCATTGTTATGTGCAGCAGCCTGTTCCCTCTCTCTCTCTCTGTCAGCCTGGTCTCCCTCCTCCCTCTGCCTGCTGCGCACCTGAGTGCAATCAGGTGCGATATGTACTCAGGTAGAGAGAGGAGGAGGTGATAAGAGGGACAGGGAGTGTAGAGACAGGAGAGGCATGGCACGTGGCACACCGACAGCCGATCAGGTAGGGAGGAATCTTTTTCTTCCTCCCTTGTTTTTCCTCTCCCCAAACTGGTTCTTTTCCCTCATGCTCTTTTAGGTGCTGGGGTTTTGTTGTTTTAGTTTGTTGTGTTAGTTTGGGCTGGAGATTGCAGGTAGTCACGTTATTCGTCTCTTTTGTTTCTTTGGGTTTAATTAGTTTAGGGGGAGACGCTGGGAGCGACGGCCCACTGCGTGGTTGGCCCAGCGTCTTGCCTCCTTTTGTTCCTTTTGGCCGAGGTCTCAGTCCCTTTTTGTTTTCCTTTAGTTTGTTTGTGCTCTTGCTTAATGTTTTGGGGTATACAGTAAAGCTGGTGGGTAAACTGTTACCTTTGGTGTGGCGTCCTCTTTTTATATGTTGCAGCCTCCTGCCCCTATTGAGCCGGGTTTTGTTACTGTTTGTATGGAGGACGTAACAGCCATAAATGTTTCAGCCTCAACCCAGACTCAGAACCTCAGATTTTAGGGAAGTGCACAGACATCACCCCTCTCCATAGAGGGAATGTGAAAACACCTATCTAGTGACAAACTTTGCACAGATACTAATCATAATACTCAAGGTTAAACATTTTAGGGTACAGAAATATGAGAAACACTTATTTTGGTAGAGGGGGACTTAAAATGAACTTAAAACAATCATAGGGATGGTCCTTTAAATGAGTGCAATAGTTGTCATGGTCATTTGTTGTCTTACCTCCAGTAAATATCATGCATAAAAAAGAGGGTGCGTCCTGTTTTCACTACATGCACTGCTGCATCAACATCCTGCACCCAGGCTGGAAATCCAAAGTGTGTGAGTGCTCGGGGCTTTCCCTTCACAAGAGAGCCTTTCACTGTCCAGAACATGGATTCTATCAAAACAAAGTGGGGGAAAAAAATCTATGTTTTGATATTCATGTATATCAGAGGGCTTTCACTAATTTGGTGATTGTCAGAATCATAATATCTTTGAATCTGTTACACTGAATGTTTGTGTGTGTAGAGTTCTGGGGTGATTATTGGTTGATTGTGTATAGAAACTAGGGTTAGATTTAATCATAAGAAAACCTACTGTATGTTGCACTTTATTTGAAACACTGAATTATTAAAGATGACTAAACGTACCATGAATGAGGTAAGCAGTGGATCTGCGAGGCACCCAGAAGGCAGCGTCGATGCTGGTTTCAATTTTGGGCATAAAGTTGGTGATGGGACCTTCTTTGATGTCATATTGCTCTTTGTGTTTAATCCAGAGATACCTTGTGGGAGAACATGTTGGTTAGGTCAAAACATTCATGATTATGACATAAACAATCACATATTCATCTACTTGGAACAAAGCAAAACCTTATAAATGTATTGCTACTTTTACATGACAAGAAGAAGATGGTATTCAGTTTGTATTAAGTGGTAAAATAATAACTTTTACATATTAAACCATCAGATCTGAAGAACATGAGACTCACTCATTTACAGATACAAAAAAATGACCTTTGACCTCTTTGCTTTTCCGAAGAGTAAATATATCTTCTTATGAATAAAAGATGTGAATTAAAGAAAGAAAGAAAAATCATCAACTTGCTTTTCTCTGAAAAAGAAGGTGGCATCCCCGACAGTGGACACGGCGTCAAAGGTCAGGTCTTTGGCGCATTTGTTCTCCATGAGTTGAGGGAACAGCGATCCCGACAGCCAGGCGCTATTCTGAGAGCTCCAGCCGTGCCTTGGAAAGTAATTCGGACGACCTCTAACTGGACCTAATCAGAACACACTCAAAGGTCAGATTCTACTTCAATACAACTATTACTGCAATGTTACTGTTTTCAAGTGCAATACATTCATAATACAAAATAAATAAAAATTGTTTACTGTAAAGTGCGTTGATATTTGCTATATCCTCGTTGGATAATAAGTTGGCTGAGTGAGAGGATTTGTACGTCGGGTACATCAGAGACTGTTGGTTTCTGGAGTGCTTCAGGCCCAAAGCGTGGCCAAATTCATGTGCAGCGACAACAAACAGATTAAAACCTGCAACAGCACAACAAATACATCCAAATGAATGATATTGTCTAATAAATTCCTTCAGTATCATCATTGAGTGCCAGTGTAATTCATTTCAGCACCTGTCTGTCCTGCTGTCCAGTGCTCATCGTCATCAAAGTGTGTGTCCCCTCCAACGCCCAGCCCTGGACCAAAGGCATGAGCCAGTGTGCCTCTGGGTCCGTCGAATGGGTACAAGTCACCATGTTCTTTATGATATAATCCGGGCCAAACATGAAATCGAAACCACAGAGAACACAATTTTCTTTCATGCCAAAAGAAAATTACAGGCTTCTGTTCACATCGTCTAAATGAGTCTGTGAAGTTCAGCAGCCACAGCATGATGATGCTGTGCTGGTTAGCAATTAGATTACAACCGAAGATCCCTGTGTGTACAGTATATCCAAGGGATTGTGTTTTATACAACACATGATTTATCGCTGAAAGGCGTATTTCTGTAAGCATGAGTTAACATGTTGAATGCACTTCAAAATATCGTCTCTACTTGTCCTATGTGAAGCAAAAAGACAAACCCACCGTGGGTCACAAACTCCACCATGATGTCAGCGTTGCGGGTGTGCGACCTGACAAACGTCAGACTGCTGGCTCTGGCCCAAACACTGAAAGCTGACTCAATCAGCGAGTCGACAGTGTTGCGAGGCAAATCTCTGGTGTACCTGCCAATGCTGTAACACAAATGAGTACATGGCATGTTGCTGATGAACACAAGGATCAAGACACAGTATCCCTTGAACATAAGTCTCATAAATTGGTCGTAAATTCTTCAGACTTTTTGAGGAATAAGAGCTACCCAAAGTCCACAGATGACATAACATGTACTATAGGTTACACGGCTTTCGACAATAGCTGCTTATCTTAGCTTCTCTTTAATTATGGATGTAT